ACATGTCAAAATCTATTTTATAGTGAATCAGATCTTTGGCTTTACCGTCTTACTCTGTTAGGGGTGAAACGAAGGGCACCAAATGCACCAGTGATTCTCTGAGCCGGCTTTGGTTCAGCTCTCGGGGCCACCTCACACACTACAAGCCAGTGTATTTCACCTGAATTTTTCATAAATCTACTCAAAATACTTATTCCATGTACCAAGTCAAGTCTAGTACATACCTTAAGATACATAATAGAACCAATACCGTTAGCATAAGGTGTTTTATTCATTCTTTCAAATTCTTCATTAGTTTTAGGTGATTGTTCACTTGACGATTTCAAATGATTGGCAAGAGACTGTTTAACATATTACAATTAAACATAAAAAAAATTTCAAGCACTTTATTCACATAAGATCACCAATTCACATAAGGATTGTAATTTTTTTCTCTCTTTTAATTTTCATGTCTAATTTTTTTAACATGACCTAGTTCTTTAATGTCAAACTCAAATTTCAATTTTAATTTGATCAAGTCCGTCTCATGTCTGTCATAGTAAGCAAGAGACATATCATCCATATATAATAACAGATTCAGGTCCTCCTGAACCCTTATAAAAGAGAGAGGATTCAAAATTATTTTTAACAAAACCTAAAGCCTCAATATATAATATAAATTTCTTATAGCATTACCTAGGTGCATATTTTAAACCATAGATGAATTTTTTTAACAAATACACTTTCTCAGGTCTTGAGTCAACTTCAAAGTCCCTAGGCTGGCTCATATATATAACTTCATCTAGATCGCCATTTAGGAAAGAAGTTTTAACATCAAGCTCATCCAATTCATGGTCAAAGTAAGCAGTTAAGGCAAGCAAAATTCTGAATGAAGTATATTTTACAATTGGAGAAAATATTTCCTTATAATCAATGTCCTATCTCTCTGTGAACCCTTTAGCTACTTATCTAACTTTATATCTCTTATTTTCAACATTAGACTCACCTTATTTAATCTTGTAAACCCATTCGCAATTTATTATTTTTTGATTTTTAGGTCTGTGATGAGTGTAATTCACTCATTAAACTAACGCCTCTAAATCACGGGTTTTAGCTTGTTCTTGAGCACTTTTGAACGTTTTGATGTGTGTATTCGTGTTGTTTTGCAGCTCAATCAACATTCGAGAAAATGCCACAATTGAGAGCTTGTGATGAATCTAAAATGTTGATCATAAAACGGGGGCATGAATTGGAGATAAGAAAAGAGGATTGCAATGAAAAAAAAGTTTAGAAGATGAACGATTCAAGTGAGGAGCAATTTGTTAGGCGCCACGACGCCCAACAAAAAGGGAATTTCCAACAGCAAGCTGGGCGCCAACCTTGCGCGCCACGACGCCCAGACTAGAAAGAAGCAGCAGAATAGTTGGCGCTGCTTCGCCAGTACACAAAATACATCGCGGTGCCAGAGATGGGCACCGAGGCGCCACCTCACGAGGGAAGATACAATCTTTGGACTCTCCTTACGGCCCAATCCAACCCTACTCTTTCCAAGATTTGAAGAGCATATAAATACTATCCTAACGACACAACTTCGAGGGTAGAACGAGAAAAGTAATCCTGGGAGCAACCGGCAAGAGCATAGAGCTTGAATTGGGAAATTTTTGGGGCCGACAAAGATAGAATTCAGAAGGTAGAAAAATCTTCATCAAGGGCAAGGAAGCCAGCCAACTCACAGGAAAAATCTGAAGGACACGGCTGAAGAATTAAGGAAGAAATCAATTGAGATAGAATGACAACCATTGGAGAAGAATTGACTTTGCACAAAAAGAGTTTTTCTATTCCTTTATTCTCTATGAGTTTTCTTTGCATTTTATTCATGTCAATTATTTCAATTATGAACTAAACATTAATTCTAGGGTTTGATGTAACCTACTTAGATATGTTTTGATTCTGATATAATTATTTTATTTAATCTTTCCGCTTTATTTATTTATTTATTTTGATTCTTGTGTAATGCTTTCAATTAACTTGCCACTAATTGAATGATTTGATGCTTTAAATTTTGACGCTCGAAAAAGGCAAATTTAGGCGTGATCTAAGACAACATAGCCTAGATTTTGTAGGGTTCAAGAGAAAGTGCGAAATCTTTGAGGCTTGATTAAATTAAGAACCACGTAACAGATAATTTTTATGTTTTAGTTCGGAATAGAGATATTGGAATTAAAATATAGAATATTCTATTTGGTGCTCGATAGAGGGAAATAGAATCAATTTAGTGTTCTTGCCTATAATTTTTGGAAAGATTGATAGAAATATTTATAATAGTTGAAAAACATTGTCGATAGTATGGTGAAATCACTCCTTAGGCATTCATAATTTGATAAGAAATTTTACAAATTGCCCTTGTTTACTTGCATCGTTCATCCCATTTACTTTAATTTAGCATAAAAACATCTCGTTAAAGTTTGATTTTCTAAATAAAGTGAAAGCTGAAATAATTATAGTACTCAATAGGATTTAAATATCAATCCCTGTCGGTTTGATACTCGTATTTCAAAATTGTATTACAAGCTTGACACCATACACTTGCGGTATAAAATCACGTTGCATAAATCGCGTGGCAAGTTTTTGGCGCCGTTATTGGGGATTGATTCATTCGAATTTAATTGATATTATTACCAATCGACCTTCATTTTAATTTAGATTTTTATTTTTACCATAATTTTTATCTTTCTTCGTTTTGTGTCTTTCTCTAATAGATTCATTGTGTTTATTTTCAGCTGTTTATATGAAGGGCGAGAAATCTGGACCTACTACCTATTGATCCCGAACTAGAACACACATTTCGCATTCTAAGAGGCATACAAAGAAACGAACAGAAAGCAATGGCGGAATAGGAAGCAAGAACAGCTAATGAGGATAACCAACATAGGGCTATTCAGGACTCCATAAGGTTCGTTGTCAATGAAAACTATTCCAGCAGCGTACGCCCAGCAATTGTTGCAAACAACTTCGAATTGAAGCCAGGGCAAATACATATGGTGCAACAGAATCAATTTGAGGGTGCTGCAACAGAAGACCCAAATGCTCATCTTGGATCCTTTTTGGAAATTTGTGCCACAATGAAGATGAATGGGGTCATTGAAGATGCAATTAGACTTTGTCTGTTCTCTTTCTCTTTGAGGGATAAAGCAAAGGCTTGGTTCGAGTCACTACTGTATGGCTCAATTACAACTTGGGATGATTTGGCCCAAAACTTCCTCACCAAGTACTTTCCACCTTCCAAATCAGCTCAATTTCACAGTGAGATTAGCCAATTCAAACAACTCGATTTCGAGCTATTTTATGGAGCCTGGGAAAGATTTAAAGACTTGCTTAGGATATGTCCTCAACATGGTTTCCAGAAATGGGTGTAGATTGAGATATTTTATAATGGGCTAAATGGGCAGACAAGGATTATGGTAGATGCAGCTGCGAGAAGCATTTTAATGGCTAAAATAGCAGAGGCTGCCTATGCTTTATTGGATGACATAGCCACTAACAGTTACCAATGGCCAAGTGAGAGATCAAGCGTAAAGAAAGTAGCAGGACTTCATGAAGTTGATACCATCACAGTACTAGTAGCTCAAGTTACATCACTCAAAAATTAGATAGTCACGCTTATTACTCAAGAAATTCAACAGAAGGCAGATTCGGTTATGAGTGCTTCTTCATCACACCAAGAGACAGATGCTGCAAACGAGCATGCCCAATATGTCAACAGTAGAAACTACAATCAAAGAGGAAATTACTAGGCTAATCACTATCATCCAGGGCTAAGGAATCACGAGAACTTGTCATATGGCAATAATAGAAACACACTTCAACCTCCACCCGTATTCAACACTCAGAATTCTGAAGGGAAACCATCCTTGGAAGACATCCTTGGGACATTTATTTCTGAGACAAGATCACGCTTTAACAAAGATGAATCACGGTTGGATAATATTGAAACACATGTGTCCAACATGGGAGCTACAATGAAGAATCTTGAAGTGCAAATTGGTCAGCTGGCTAACTCAATAAAGTCTCAGCAACAAGGAAAATTTCCAAGTGATACAAAAGTCAACCCAAAGGAGCACTATAAGGTCGTTGTATTGAGGAGTGGCAAGGAAGTTGGAGAAAGTGAACTCACCGAAGATAGCAACCCCACGCCTGACAAGGAAAAAGAACAAGTGATAGTAGAGCAAGAAAAGCAGGCTAAAGGAACAAATAAGGCTCATAGACCTTACTCCATATCCTTCTTAGACAACCCACCAATTCTCACTATACCACTTCCATTTTCACAGCGTTGTCAAAAGAAAAAATTTGATGATTAATTTGTAAAATTTTTAGAAATTTTCAAAAAAATTCACATTAATATTCATTTTGCAGATGCTTTGGAACAAATGCCAAACTATGCAAAGTTTATGAAAGAAGTGATGTCAAAGAAGCGAAAATTGGAGGAATATGAAACAATAAAATTAACAGAAGAATGTAGCGCCATCGTTCAAAAGAAACTTCCTCAGAAGAGAAAAGATCCGGGCAGTTTCACTATTCCATGCACCATTGGAAGCTCTTCTTTTAAAAAGGCCCTCTGTGATCTTGGAGCAAGCATCAACCAAATATCGTTATCGGTATTCAAGAAGTTAGGCCTCGGGGAAGTCAAGCCATATAAAACGAAATTGATTCATCATTTGTAACATTTATCCATCTCGCGATTCCCTGTGAATTGCGTGAAAGTAGTATACTCCAAATTCGGGGGTCAAAGAGTTTTAGAAAACGTTCTTGGTGGTGACCCTACAACTGGCTGATAGGTCCCTCACATACCCACGAGGGATTCTTGAAGACGTGCTAGTAAAGGTCAACAAATTCATCTTTCCAGCTAATTTTGTGGTATTGGATATGGAAGAAGATCAGGAAATCTCATTGATTTTAGGCAGGCCATTTTTAATAACTGGAAGGGCATTAATTGATGTGCAAGGAGGACATTTGACATTGAGAGTGAATCAAGAAGAGGCGAGGTTCAACATCTACCAAGAAATGAAGTACTCAAACGACACTGATACTTGCCATAGGATTGACTTCATTGATTCTGCTATGAGAGATGAGAAAGCATACATTGAGGACCCCTTGGAGTAATGTATGATATTTAGTTCAACAAAGGATGACATCAGCACTCTTGGAGAATATGCAGGGAGCAAAGACCTGGTTGATTGCATATTGGCTTTAAAGTCTACACCAGTTGAAGACAACCTGTCACAGTGTGAAGATATTCAGCAATCAGATGAATCAAATAACAAAGAAATCAGTGAAAGCAGTAAGATTGAACTGAAGCAATTACCAGATCACCTCCGCTATGCATTTCTGGAGGACAATTATGCATTTTTAGTGATCATTTCTTCATCATTCACGAGGGACGAAGAGGACAGATTATTGAAAGTGTTGAGGGAGTACAAGGCCGCTTTGGGATGGTCGATAACTGACATCAAGGGGATAAGTCCTACAATCTGCATGCATAAAATCCACATGGAAGATTCCTACAAGCCATCCATTGAACATCAGAGAAGGCTAAACCCAGCAATGAAAGAAGTAGTTGGAGCGGAGATACTAAAACTATTGAAGGCATGGATCATATTTGCTATTTCAGACAGTAAATGGGTCAGCCTAGTGCATGTGGTACCAAAGAAATAAATGATGACAGTAGTTAAGAACAACAACAATGAGCTCATTCCAACTAGAACAATAACTGGCTGGAGGGTGTGCATTGACTACAGGAAGCTGAACAAGGCAACTAGAAAGGACCATTTCCCACTTCCTTTCATTGATAAAATGTTGGACAGATTAGCGGGCTACTCTTACTATTGTTTTTTTTACGGGTATTCGGGCTACAATCAGATTGCTATAGCACTAAAAGATCAGGAAAAGACAACTTTCACTTGTCCTTATGGAACTTTTGCCTACAAACGGATACTATTCGGGTTATGCAATGCACCGGCCACCTTTCAAAGATGCATGATGGCGATCTTTACAGACATGGTTGAGGACATTATGGAAGTATTTATGGATGACTTTTCGATGTTTGGTATTTCTTTTGACAACTGCCTTCACAATCTCTCATTAGTGTTACAATGCTGTGAAGAAAAGAACTTGGTTCTTAACTGGGAAAAGTGCTACTTCATGGTACAAGAAGGAATTATGCTAGGCCACCATGTTTCAGCGAGGGGACTTGAAGTTGATAGGGCAAAAATTGATACAATTGCAAAGCTACCACCACCCACCAATGTCAAAGGCATTCGAAGTTTCTTGGGGGCATGCTAGATTCTACAAGAGGTTCATCAAAGACTTTTCAAAAGTAGCTAAACCCCTATGCAACCTTTTGGAGAAAGACACAACATTTGTATTTGATGGTGATTGCATAAGGGCATTTGAAACCATAAAGGCAAAATTGGTCACTGCTCCAGTGATGGTAGTGCCAAATTGGGATCAACCATTTGAGGTTATGTGTGATACTAGTGACTAAGCAGTAGGGACGGTTTTGGGACAAAGGCGTGATAAGATTTTTCGGACAATCCACTATGCCAGTAAAACCCTTAATGGAGCTCAACTAAATTATACCACAATAGAGAAGGAAATGCTAGCAGTAGTGTTTTCATGCGACAAATTCAGATCTTGCCTCATTGGCACCAAAGTGATCATTTACACAGATCATGCTACAATCCGATATCTCTTTGAAAAGAAGGATGCCAAGGCCATGCCTAATTTGATGGATATTGCTACTGCAAGAATTCGATGTAGAAATTCGGGATAACAAAGACAGTGAGAACGTCATTGCAAACCATCTCTCACGGTTAGAGAATGAGAAAATGGTGGATAACAGTCAAATTCAAGAAACTTTCCCTGTCGAGATCTTGCTAGCTGTATCAACAAGGATCCCATGGTATACTGATTGTGTTAATTATTTGGTGTTTGGAAGATTGCCACTTGACTTGAACTTCCATCAAAAGAAAAAATTCTTACATGATGTCAACTCATATCTGTGGGATGACCCAATATTGTTCAAGAGGTGTACTGACAGAATAATTAGGCGGTGTGTCCCTGTGGAAGAGACACAATCAATCATGCAGCGTTGCCATTCCTCCCCTTATGGAGGTCATTTCGGTCCTACACGCACTGCTGCTAAAATATTACAATCTGGTTTCTATTAGCCAAATCTGTTCAAGGACTGCTATACTTTTGTGAAGACATGTCACTGTTGTCAGCATACTGGAAACATTTCAAAGCATCATGAGTTGCCATTAACTAATATGCTTGAGGTGGAGTTATTTGATGTGTGAGGTATAGATTTCATGGGTCTGTTTCCACCTTCTTTTGGTTAGGTATACATTCTCCTTGTAGTAGACTAGCCATTGCCACACCAACAAATGATGCAAAGGTGGTTTTGAGGTTTCTACAGAAACACATCTTCACTCGATTTGGCATGCCTAGGGCAATTGTAAGTGATGAAGGTACACATTTTCTGTAACAAGCTGTTCAACTCCCTTTTAGCTAAATATGATGTCAAGCACAAATTGGCACTTGGTTATCACCCACAATCAAATGGGCAAGCAGAAGTGTCTAACAGAGAGATAAAACAGATTTTGGAAAAGACGGTAGATACTAGCTGAAGGAACTGGTCTCTCAAACTAGATGACGCTCTTTGGGCATACCGAACCGCCTTCAAAATACCAATTGGAATGTTACCTTACCGTCTGGTATTTGGGAAAGCTTGTCACCTACCAGTTGAATTGAAGCATAAAGCTTATTGGGCTGTGAAAAAGTTGAATTTGGACATGAAATTGGCTAGTCCACAAAACTTATTGCAGCTTGATGATTTAGATGAATTCCAGGATGATGCATATGAAAATGCAAAAATATACAAGGAGCGGACAAAAATGTGACATGACAAGAGAATACTGAGGAGGGAATTCAAGGTAGGAGAATGAGTTCTTCTATTCAATTCTTGATTGAGACTCTTTCCGGGCAAGCTTAAATCCCGGTGGTTAGGACCATTTGTAATTTGTAAGGTACACCCTTATGGTTCAATGGAAGTAGTGAGTAGGGATGGGTCTACTTTTCAGGCAAATGGACAACGTCTCAAGCATTACTATGGAGAGGAAGATCGAGATGTGGAAGAAATTACCCTTGAAGAACCAAATTAAAATCACATCACGTCCAGCTAAAGAAGTAAAAGAAGCGCTTCTTGAGAGGCAACCTAAGTTCTATTCCTAAATTTCCTTTCTTTAGTTTAACATTTCCTTTTCTTCCATGATAACTTTAATAATTTCACTTTCTTTTCATTTTTGTAGAAATATGCTCAAACATGGTTGCATTGACGCTCTAGTCAACATGGGGAAGGGAATGCATTGGAGGTAAAAAAAATTAATTTTTTTTTCTTTTTCAGAATAAAAGGCACCGTGGCGCCCATATTGGGCGCTGCAACGTCAATACTTTAAAAAAAATTAACATAGAGGTGCCCAGTTTCTGCGCCACGGCACCCAAACCCTTTTTTTTAAAGAAACAAGTCTCTCCCTCTCTTTTATCACCCCGATCCCCACAAATTGTTTTATTCTCTCAAATCTCTCCCCTCTCCCTCCCCACACTTGCACACACCTAAATCTCTCATACTACCCCACATCTACATACACTCACATCTACAACAAGCCATACCCACTACTTTCATTAGATTTGAAGTGTTATTGACTAGTTCTTCACAGAAGGTACGTTCTTTTACAATGCAATTTTACATCCTTTAGCTTGGTTTGAACTTCTAGTAGTAATCTTGTTTGGGGCTAAGTCATATTCTTGTTTGTTGTGCTTTGGCAAAGATTTTTTGGGTTTTGTTTTGTTCTTCAAAATTGTTTTGTTGTATGTCCACAATTTGTTCTTTTGCCTCTTTGAAGTTCTTTGCCAATTTTGTGATCTATGTTAGAGGACTTTACAAATTTCTATGGGCTTGGACTTTCCTGATAATTGATTTGTTGTCTTGCCCACAAAGTGTTTGATAAATTTCACCAAAGACTTCTTTTGCGCTATTCTTGGGATATTTTTGGTGGCTTGCATTAAGTTTTTTACTTGATTCTTCTTGTAGCCTACCATATGTTCGATATGTTGTTTCATTAAAATTTTCGTGCCTACTTTGGACATACTTCATTTACTAAGGCAAATTCATTGAATTGGTTTAGGTGGTTGAGTTCACGTGATATTGGGAAGAACACTTACACCATGCCTCCTAAAAAGAAATCCAAGGTCACTACTTCTTCATCTACTACATCGTTTGATTGAAGACGATTCATTAGTCCCAAAGCAGAGGAACGCTACAAACAAAGTGTGATACATCAAAATTGCATTCCTGAGAGGGGCCTTGAAAATTTTTTGCCAGAGAAAATACACAGTTTGGTATGGGAGAAATTTACCAAGCAGCCTACAGCTGCATCCATTCCTTTGGTGAAAGAATTTTATGCAAATGCTAATGAACGCGAGAACTTCAAAGTTTTTGTTCGGTGTTTTTGGATCAAGTTTGACAGTGCTTCAATTAACAGGTTCTATCATAGGCGGGATATACCCAATGATGACTACTCCCAAGTGCGTGATGAGGGGATCAATCCCGACGTGATAATTCGCAATATAGCTCGTCCCAGTCTCAATGGAAATGATCAGCTAGTGATGTAACTCACTTCCCTACCTCTGGTCTCATACCTAACTGTAAAATTTGGCATCACTTCATAACAGCCAAAATGATCCCCAGTAGCAACACCAGCGAGGTCACAAAGAACAGGCTTTACTGAATTTTGTTATTCAGAAGGGGTATCCTATTGATGTTGGCAAAGTCATTCAAAACAGCATTCTTCGCATCCTAGCAGGGCTAGCTACAAGCAGTTTGGGTCACCCATCTTTGATCTATGACCTTTGCATACACGGGGGTGTTCCCACGCGAGAAACTGATGAAGTGTTACACCCGAAACAACAACTTACACGGGAAATCCGTGATAGGCATGTGGGACATCAGGACATGCCTAGCTCTTCTCAATCCTCTCGTCCATCCCTACATATACTATTGCCTCCACAACCTTTTGATGCTACAGGGTACATCCTTCGACGTC